TAGCGTTGTATCCATCGTAATTTTCAACCCGTTCATTAACAAGTCCTGAAGTTCAAACAAGTTAAAAAATAGGCAAAAAAAACAGAAAAAATCTAGAGAAGTAAGAGGCAATATTTATAAAAAAAGACAATACAGGTTGAGTAAAAAAACCGGGATAGAGATTTTTGCACAAAATTTTACAAATTTTTGTTTGCAAAAATTTTATGTGTACATTTTATGTATAAAAACATTTAATTAGGACAAAAAAAATTTAAAAGTATTTTTGGAACATTGAACAAAATATTTTAGACACCAATATTTTTTGAAAAAATTAAATTCTTTAAAAATTGATGGGAAAATGTTTATTTTCAATTGTGTTCCAAAAATTCATAAAAATTCATAAATAATGAAAAGAGATATGACAAAAAAATCACAATTTTTTTTATGGAAAAAGGCAAACTATAAAAAAAAGCGAATAACAACAAAAACAGACAAAAACCAAACCCTATAATAAAACACTAACCTGAAATTCAAACTTTGAAGCGAGTATATTGGAAGTACTCCATTTAGTTGAGATTAATGCTTTATAATCTTTCAACTCATACTTCCCTTCAAAACTACCAGACACCTAGACAAACAAACAAATCTTAAAGGGACTGTAAACGTAATTTCAAGGGACCCTCCATGCCCAATTCACAACGGCACCCTTTAAACTTTGATGATTGTCGGTTTTATTGCTGGAAAAGTGTTATATTCTGATTATTTACTCTATTATTTCTGAAGCAGAAATACGCAAGGTAATTTGTAAATTAAATTTGAAAATAATCAATGTTCAAAGAACATGATTGATCTTATCTGATCTTTATTTGATCAAGGCTTCCCTTTAAAAGTGACTTTCGGATTTAAGCTACAGCGGTAATGAATGAAACTGGCAGAATTCGACAAATAAAAAATAACAACAATATCCTCCATACTGTTACTTATACAGAATTTTAAAGGGTTCCGTTGAAAATCCTTAAAATGTAGGGTTACATGAAAATACATGTACAGTCCCTTTAAATATATATAATTCTCACCTTGCCTGACTCCTTGTTAGATATTCCTGATGAGATGAATTCAAGTCCTGAACTTGTTCTAGTCTTCACGTCCAACTTTACCAAACCAAAATGGAATCCCTTGACAAAACATATATTAGAAATAAAGTCAGATTTAATTTTTTGATTTCATGTTTGAACTCTAGTTATGTACTGTTTGAACTCTAGTTATGTACTGTTTGAAGTCTAGTTATGTACTGTTAGAACTCTAGTTATGTACTGTTTGAACTCTAGTTATGTACTGTTTGAACTCTCGTTATGTACTGTTTGAAGTCTAGTTATGTACTGTTAGAACTCTAGTTATGTACTGTTTGAACTCTAGTTATGTACTGTTAGAACTCTAGTTATGTACTGATAGAACTCTAGTTATGTTTTGTTTGAACTCTCGTTATGTACTGTTTGAACTCTAGTTATGTACTGTTTGAACTCTAGTTATGTACTGTTTGAACTCTAGTTATGTACTGTTTGAACTCTAGTTATGTACTGTTTGAACTCTAGTTATGTACTGTTTGAATTCTAGTTATGTACAGTTTGAACTCTAGTTATGTACAGTTTGAACTCTAGTTATGTACTGTTTGAACTCTAGTTATATACTGTTTGAACTCTAGTTATGTAGTGTTTGAACTCTAGATATGTACTGTTTGATCTCTAGTTATGTACTGTTTGAAGTCTATTTATTTACTGTTTGAAGTCTAGTTATGTTCTGTTTAAACTCTAGTTATGTACTGTTTGAACTATAGTTATGTACTGTTTGAACTCTAGTTATGTACTGTTTGAACTCTAGTTTTGTACTGTTTGAACTCTAGTTATGTACTGTTTGAACTCTAGTTCTGTACTATTTGAACTCTAGTTATGTACTGTTTGAACCGACCTTCCCGAATACATCTCTGGTTTGTTTACCAAGATCTGCGTACAGTGGAGGAACCATTTTAGTTCTGTAAAAAATATTTTTATTTTGTAACTTTCTTCTTTTTTTTAAATATTTTATTATCTTTAGTTCCTGGCTTTTCAATAAAAAATTTATCATGGTTTGAAATGTAACAACATTTTTGTTAAGCTATATTGTTTGATTGCACGAATGGCTTTGATTTAGGCATACATACAATTTATAATGAAACTGAAATTTAGTAAAAATCTAATTTTTCTCCAAAAAGAAATTTAAATTAAAGTATTTTGTTTCAAAGATTATGTTTGACTTGACATTGATAATAATGGTTAAATATAATTTTTAAACTGTATTATTTTTTTATTTTTTCTCTTCCTCTTTCTTTTTCTTCTTCATTTCCTCTAGTTCAATTTGCCAGTCTGTTTTGGAACTTACTAAAAATATAAATCCTACTTTTACATTCTAATTGTATAGGTTCTGTACTCTGTAGGCGTAAACAAAGTGACCCTCCATTTACAGAGTGGAATGTCTGATTCACAACAGTACGGTAGCATCGAAACCGTTATCTGAGTAACAATGAGAAAGATCTGGGTATTTGTTTATTTAGAAGTTTTAAAATTTAGACAATTTTCGTCGTTATCTTTCTGCAATTCACATTCACAGAGCAATGTTTAGCTGGTAAAACTAGGATATCTCCATTATCCATAATCAGACAAAGGTTTAAAGGTTACCATTGTAAATCCGACATGCCACTGTATGGAGGGTAACTTGATATTTTATCCCATATCTTTATCTATATCATCGACAAATTATCCAATAGAAAAACAGAGGAAACAACATTTTCTTTTCTGAATTTTGATAAGAAAATAATATTTAAAATCCTACCATCATGTACATTAAATTTTCCTCCTCGGCCCAACCCTGCAGCAAACTTTTTAGCTCCTGGAAAATTTTTAAAATGTTTAAATTTCAAACCAATTTAAAAAGATATTAAATAATTAAAATATTTGTTGAGCTCTTTTTGATTTGTAGGCACTGCCATCTTGATACATGTAAATCCCAGTTATAGGACAAGCCAGGCGGATTCGGCGACTTTAAAAGTCGTTTTTTAAATAAAAAATTTAAATTTAGCCTATCATGAGGCGGAATTAATCCCAGTACAGTACGAGGATAGGGACCGACCGGTACGAATTTTGTAGAGGCTTCATTATCTGACATTCTGAGATGTTTTAAAATTTTGTTAAACACTTTGGAAGTCACTTTTTATAAAAAGAGGAAAATCTCCTAATTATGTTAAATCATGTACACATTATCGCTGGTGAAAGCAACAAATAAAAACCTAACATAAATAGTAAATACTGCATAGAAATTTTTCGTTCCAATTTTACTTTACAAACTTTTTCGCGAAATTTCGCATTTTTTCGCGAAAATGAATTATGCGAAATAAATACGAAATTTGGCGAAAATACTTTACGCGAAATTTCGCGAAAAAAACCATGCGTTGTAGCTGCAACAATTAATTGCACAAACAAGACTGTGGAATTATCTGCTCTGAGAGCTCAGCACTAGAGAGTTTTATCATATCATAAGTAATAATTTCTCTTCCGTACTTCGCAAAATTTTCTCATTTTCCCCCACCAAAATTTACGCATTTATTTTTCGCGATTAAAGCAAAATTTCGCGAAAAAAGCGAAAATGTTCGCATTTTTTTTCCAGCGAACAAAATACAAAAAATGCGAAAATATCGGCAAATTTTTTTTTCGCGAAACGATTAATCCTTTACGCTGGAAACCCTAATAGAGTGCCATGAAGGGCCCTTACCGCCCAGCTATTTTATGAAATATTAAAATTTTCCGTCACTTATAGAAAAAAGCATGAAATTCATATGATTTAGGTAATTTTAAAATCTTGTCACAAATCTCTTATGTTTTAATTTACAATAAATGCCGCGTAGATTGAGGACGACTTATATTCATCTGTACCTGAAACTGCCTCAGTAGTTAGAACACTCGCAGCATTTAGGGATTCGTACTCCATAGAGTCCTCGAAATTGGATCGACTTCATAAAACAGGAGATAAATAAGATTTGATGATTAATTTTCTGTACTTGAAGGGAAAATTATTATTATAATTATTAAATAAAATAGTCAACCATCATCCCGTGGGAGTCAGGGTTAAGCTCTCATCTAAACACACCACCATAACGGTTGGCAGGGCGTCACTGGCATGTTTTAATTAAACAAAGTGTGAAGGAACAGGCAAGAGTCAAGGTGGGCTGGGCTGCCTTAAAACAGGCAGCACACTCTCTCATTATTATCATTATTATTATTATCATTATCATTATCATTATCATTATCATTATTATTACTATTATTATTATTATCATTATCATCACTAACATCATTATCATCATCATCATCATCAATATTATCAGTATAATAATTATGATTATTATTATTATCAATACTATCATTATTATCAATACTATCATTATTATCAATACTATCATTATTATCATTATAATCATTATTATTTTATTATCAATATTATCATTATTATCATCATTATCATTATTATTATTATTATCATTATCATCATTATTACTAATTAACCTGAATGTAGAGTTGTATGCTGAGGCTCTATCCACCTTCAAGCACTCCTGGGGAAACTTGACGATTTCCTTCGCCAGGTTCACAGCTTGACCAAACACTGAGGAAAAATAATTAAATTAACCCATTTCTGACTTTTACAGGGACAGTCGACGAAATTCAAGCGACCTTGATTTAACTGCATGCCCAATTCACATAGGTACCCTTTAAACCTTCTTCTGAGCCGAAATAACGAAAAAAACACTGTTTTTTATTATTTCCAAAATTAACTTGTGCTTCTATGCATCAGAGGCAAAGTAAGAAATGGACAGAATTTAATCATTTTTTACATTGACATGAGAAAACGGCGAGATCTTCATCATTGTTACTCAGATAAGAAATGTAAAGGATATTGTTGTAAATCTAATATAAAACTTGAATCTAGGTTTACAGTCTGTTTTAGACCTAGAAAATAATAACAATAAATTCATCAAATCTAGGTTTACAGTCTGTTTTAGACCTAGAAAATAATAACAATAAATTCATCAACTCTATACAAAATATTTGATATATGATAACTTTCATTTTAATCTATATTTTCAGAAATATTATCACAATTATCAATATTATTATTACTTTTATCCTTATTATCGTTATCAACATGGCTTTAAGATTACTTATACCTGTTCCAGTACTAACAACCCGATTAGCTAGACCCCAGTCTAAAGCTTCCTAGGAAATAACAATGAAGTATCTGTTAGAATATATCCTACTGTTGTGTTCGACCAATCTAATACTCTGTTAGAATTAGCTATCACTGATCAGTCCTTATTTGCTAAATGGATATATTGCTACATTTAGTTTCTTAAAGTTGAACGGAAACAAGTTTAGTACAATGAACTTCTTGCAGTACAATTACGGTATATAGAGAGAGCAAACAGTTAATCTTTCTTTTTCAAATTTTTCATTTGACTTTCAGAGGCGGTTCATGAGGTTGTTCTTGACAAAATAGGAAAATGGTATTTAAACACGCTAATTTTTATAAAATTGTTTTGAACAGTACAGATCTAACTTGTGAACAATACCTTTAACATAAAGAATATATTTACCCTTGGTTCAATTAACCGTCCTGTGAGAATAAGATCCATAGCTCTCCCGAATCCGATTATTTGAGGAAGTCTGAAACATGAGTTTAAAGGAAATGTAGATTTGATTACAAGTAACCCTTCAAATAAACGGCCTTCACCTTAACGGCGCCCTAAAACCTTTATCAAGCAACAATGAGAAAGATATCTTTGGTTTTTTTAGTTAAATTATGTTGACTTCTTACTTTGTTTCACCTGTAGAAACCCGAAACCCATAAATACCAAATTTTCTGATAGAAAACCAAGAATTCTTCATCTGGGTTTGGGTCAAATGATCAGAATTAAATACTTTTTGAGTCAGGAAATCTATTGTATCTATTGTATCTTCCACATTTTTGATTAGATTAAGGTTTCAAGGGTACCGTTGTAAATCGGCCATTGTCATCTTTCCATGGAGGATCAGTTGAAGGCTTACAGTCCCTTTAAATAGTAACATTTTGAATCGGACATGCCTCTCTTTTAAATAAAGGATCACTTGAAATTACGTCTAAAGCATCCTAAAAATATCTATATTTATGTATTTTTTATATAACACAATAACAAAAACATAGAGGTCATTGGAAGGTCAAACGCTGGATTTGTTGCTGCTACTGTATTTCCTGGGTTCCTAGCTTTCGTTTGATATGCAAAAAGCCATAGTTTAAACATTTTCATTTTGGAGGTAATTTTAGGTCATTAGAGGTCGTTATAGGTCATTAGAGGGTCAAAGACTAGATTCGTTGCTTCTACTGTATTTCCTGGGTTCCTAGCTTTCGTTTGACATGCATAAAGCCATAATTGAAACATTTTCTATTTGTTGGGTTCATTAGAGGTCATTGAGGTCATTAAAAATTCAATTCAATTTTATTTGAGGAAATTCGAACACAAATTTGGCTTGCAGCCAAAAAATTGGAAGATTTAAACTAAAAATGAAGGCAGGGACCCCCCCCCCCTCATCAAACAGGACAATTCCTCCATCCCCTAGCTTTACAAGAATATTTGGCTGGAGAAAATGTCACTTTTTAAGATTTGGAATTGAAAAAAAAGTTTTCGTTTTAAAACGGAAAACGAACTTTTAGTTAATTGTTTTGAAAATTATCAAACGGCTACTTTTCAGAACGATCGTTTATAAATCATAAAAAATATTTTTACGTTAAAAAAAAGCGAAAAACGCGAAGTTTCTCTTCTTAAGACACAGTCCTATATTATTTACCTGACGGTTCCACCATCTATGAGAGGAACTCCGAATCTTCTGTTTAAAAATCCTAGTTTAGCGTTCTCCTCTACAACCCTTCAGTATCATTATTATTATTACTATTACCATCATTATTATAATTATCATATTTATTATTACTATTAGAAGCAATCATTCAAAACTTTAAAAATCTTTTTAAATTTAATATAACAAAATATTCAACCTTAGATCACACATTATGGCGAGTTCTAGCCCCCCTGCTACACAATATCCATCCACAGCTGCTATAACCGGTTTAGTCAACGCCATCTTGGTTGGTCCCTAAACACGTGGTCTGTTAATCTATTTCCGGTTTAGTCAACGCCATCTTGGTTGGACCCTAAACACGTGGTCTGTTAATCTATTTCCGGTTTAGTCAACGCCATCTTGGTTGGACCCTAAGCATGTGGTCTGTTAATCTATTTCCGGTTTAGTCAACGCAATCTTAGTTGGACCCTAAACATGTGGTCTGTTAATCTATTTCCGGTTTAGTCAACGCCATCTTGGTTGGACCCTAAGCATGTGGTCTGTTAATCTATTTCCGGTTTAGTCAACGCAATCTTAGTTGGACCCTAAACATGTGGTCTGTTAATCTATTTCCGGTTTAGTCAACGCCATCTTGGTTGGACCCTAAACATGTGGTCTGTTAATCTATTTCCGGTTTAGTCAACGCCATCTTGGTTGGACCCTAAACACGTGGTCTGTTAATATATTTCCGGTTTAGTCAACGCCATCTTGGTTGGACCCCAAACACGTGGTCTGTTAATATATTTCCGGTTTAGTCAACGCCATCTTGGTTGGACCCTAAACATGTGGTCTGTTAATCTATTTCCGGTTTAGTCAACGCCATCTTGGTTGGACCCCAAACACGTGGTCTGTTAATATATTTCCGGTTTAGTCAACGCCATCTTAGTTGGACCCTAAACATGTGGTCTATTAATCTATCTCCGGTTTAGTCAACGCCATCTTGGTTGGACCCTAAACATGTGGTCTGTTAATCTATTTCCGGTTTAGTCAACGCCATCTTAGTTGGACCCTAAACACGTGGTCTATTAATCTATTTCCGGTTTAGTCAACGCCATCTTGGCTGGACCCTAAACATGTGGTCTGTTAATCTATTTCCGGTTTAGTCAACGCCATCTTGGTTGGACCCTAAACACGTGGTCTGTAAATCTATTTCCGGTTTAGTCAACGCCATCTTAGTTGGACCCTAAACATGTGGTCTATTAATCTATTTCCGGTTTACTTAACAGTTTCATCAATGCCATCTTTGTTAAATGCTAGAAGTAAACAGTAAATTGGGTCAACCCCATCTCATTTAGACCATTGCATTGTCCCTGGTCCATCAGTATTTAATGAACCCTACCATCGGTCACTGGTCCATGAATATTTAATAAACCCTACCATTGGTCCCTGGTCCATCAGTATTTAATGAACCCTACCATTGGTCCCTGGTCCATCAGTATTTAATAAACCCTACCATTGGTCCCTGGTCCATCAGTATTTAATGAACCCTACCATCCGTCCCTGGTCCATCAGTATTTAATAAATCCTACCATTGGTCCTGGTCCATCAGTATTTAATTAATCCTACCATTGGTTCTTGGTCCATCAGTATTCAATATATCCTACCATTGGTCCCTGGTCCATCAGTATTTAATATATCCTACCATTGGTCCCTGGTCCATGAGTATTTAATAAATCCTACCATTGGTCCCTGGTTCATCAGTATTTAATAAATCCTACCATTGGTCCTGGTCCATCAGTATTTAATAAATCCTACCATTGGTCCTGGTCCATCAGTATTTAATAAATCCTACCATTGGTCCCTGGTCCATCAGTATAAATCCTACCATTGGTCCTGGTCCATCAGTATTTAATAAATCCTACCATTGGTCCCTGGTCCATCAGTATTTAATAAATCCTACCATTGGTCCCTGGTCCATCAGTATTTAATTAATCCTACCATTGGTCCTTGGTCCATCAGTATTTAATATATCCTACCGTTGGTCCCTGGTCCATCAGTATTTAATATATCCTACCATTGGTCCCTGGTCCATTAGTATTTCTGCCACTTTATTTGCAATTCCATCTTGAAGATCGGACAGTTCTTCTAGATCATACCCAGCACAGAAACTTCCACCTGAATGCGTACAGAGTTACCCACAAAGAATGAATCTTTAATGACGACCTAAAACTCTTTAAATAATACGACCCAAAGGTTGTATTTATTCTTTGCCTTGTAATGCCACACTAGATGATTTGGCATAGAATATGACACTTTTTTACAACTACAGAGGGCCAAGATTGCTAGAAACAAAACTAAATAAATTCAATAAAGTTGTCTCTGAAGTCCCATTCTTTGTGGACAACCCTGTAATAATAGTAAAAGGGATTGAAAGATTTATGAAATTAAATGATTGCTTTACACAATTAAATGAAAACATGAAAACATCTTTAAAGAGTACATAAGTATCATACAGTACACATTAGTATCATTGAGTACAGCACTGTACAATACAGTACAATTAGCCATAAACAAACAAACAAACAAACAAACAATCAACCATCATTCCGTAGAAGTCAGGGCTGAGACCTCATTAAAAATAGCCACACTGGCTATTAATGTACCAATTGGTGACACACTGTCTAGTGTGGCCAACTGTCGAAGTACAGACCAATGACTTAAGCCACCGCCCAACTGCACACTAACAGTCCCCTGGAGTAGTCCATCTCGGTACTACCCCAGTATGAAGTTGTTAAAAAGTTTATTAATTTATTATTAGTTAATTGATTAAATATATGATTGTTTGACAAAAACCCCACCTGGAAAGCTGAGGACCTACAGCTGACCTACATGGCTTGCTACCAGCCAGGACTCCAATAACACTGCCATTTTCCTCCCCCTTTCAAGTAGGATTACTTGGTCCGACCCATCCCCCCCAAGATAAGCTCTGAGAATCTGCCAAAAAGGTTTCTTACCATGTACAACAGAATTTGAGTGGTAATCAGCTATCCCAAAATCCCTACGCTGTGCCGCCACACATGGGCAAATAAGGACCACGTGAGACTCTACCAGCCTGGCACGGACACCATTAGAGAGACACCATGGGCAAAAAGCGTGGGTACAGCCGTACCTGTCCTTGTACCTGTTACCTAATTCTGTGTTACCAGCTCGAACCCTGCACAAAGTCTTACTCGCCCTGGAGTCATTCACAAAACCTTGAAGTCGGAACCACTTCCATGGCTGGGAGGCTGCAACAACAGAGGAATGACCCCTTTTGGTTGATACAACAAAGCTCACAGCTCTATCTGACATTGCTTTCTGCAGCTCCTTCTTGCTTGAAAACGTTGCAATGGTCCTGACATCCCTCTGGATCTCCACCCAGGATTTCACCCATGGGTCTGTAGGGTATTCTAGTAGTTCCCGTAACACCTCCATTAGATTGGTATTGAACTTGGACTTCAGAATATTCCAGATGAACAAAGCCTGTCTGGTCTGAATTCTGTGTGTCATAGGCATGAGGCCCGCATCCATCCAGGAGAGAACCTTAGAGGATGAGGGAGGTATCTGCAAGATGAATCTACCCACCATGCCTTGTAGTCTTTCTAGCTCTACAATAGTAGCTTTCTTAAGAGTCACAGCCTCCACACAATACAGAATTGACGGGATGGCGCATGACTCCCAGAGTCTCTTGGCAACCATGGCCCTATCAAGAACACCCCTTGACAGGTTCATGATTGCATAATCATAATTTGTGGCCTTCCGGATCATGTCCTTCTCATACACCCCTATCATAGACCTACCACGCACATGGATAGTCACCCCTAAATACTTGGCCACTAATATCTCCTCAATAGTGACGTTATCTACCTTCCACGAAATCTCATTTGGGGCATTGGTAAGGATGTAAGTCTTTGAGGTTGCAAGCTTCATGTGCATATCCATGCAGAATCTTGAAACAATTCTAAGAAGCTTGTTCATTCCTCTCTTAGGGGTTCTTGGTAGCAAGAGCAGGTCATCTGCGAAGAAGATAGCTGTTATCATAACCTTCCCTAATTTAACTCCAATCTAATGAAGTACAGCACAGTGCAATAAAGTGCAATTACCTATACCAAGAAGTACAGCACAGTACAATAAAGTACAATTATCTATCCCAAGAAGTACAACACAGTGCAATAAAGTGCAATTACCTATCCCAAGAAGTACAACACAGTACAATAAGTACAATTACCTATCCCATGAAGTACAGCACAGTACATGTCCTCATCAGCTTCAAACTCAAGAAAAGCATTCTTCAAAAGTTCTCCCGTCTCAGTATTAACACAGTTTCGTTTATTCGGTCTAATAAAACATTTTAATTTATTTTTCATAACATTTTTCATTATTAGAAATTAGTGAAAACTTAATTTTTATAATAATAATCAAATTTGTTTTTATGATTATTGAAAATTTAGTTTTTATAATTATTGATAATTTAGTTTTTATAATTATTGATAATTTAGTTTTTATAATTATTGATAATTTAGTTTTTATAATTATTGATAATTTAGTTTTCATGATCATTCATAGTTTAGTTCCTTATAATTATTGATAATTTCAGGGGACGACAGTTCCAAGCAGTGCTTGAGTCACAAACCTGACAGTTTGGGCACAAATATTGTTAAAGATAATTCTAATACGCTCAGAGTCAAGTCTTGACCAGTTTGGAACTTTCTTCCCCTGAATAATCTAATATTTCATAATCTAATTTTTGTAATTTTTAATAATTTATTTTCTAATGATTATAAAGAAAAACATGATTAATAAGTTATTATTAATGTGTCTCTACCTATTAATGATTATAAAGAATAAGATGATTAATAAGTTATATGTGTCTCTACCTATTAATGATTATAAAGAATAAGATGATTAATAAGTTATTATTGATGTGTCTACTCTCTACCTATTAATGATTATAAAGAATAAGATCATTAATATGTTATTATTGATGTGTCTCTACCTATTAATGCCGATTGTCATGATATGCAACGAAGGAAGACGTTCTACAATGACTAACTGCTCCGCCTCCTCCGCCCCCTCTTCTCCGCCTCCCTGGCTTACATCTTCAGACAAATATCTAAATTTGTAAAATTATGATAAAATGTTGAATACCTGTTCAATCTAAAGTAAGTTATTTTACAATTTAACATGTTTTACTTTAAATAAATTCCTTTTTAAAGAGTTTTTCAGAAGACATTTTTTTAAAATTTCTATAATGCAGCCAAATACACTAGATGTCGTCTTTTCAAGATTTAGGGTTTTTTTGTTCACAATAACCCTGAGGCAGAAGCCCAAAGGAATTACGCGCATGCTCTCTCTCTGTCTTTTAATTCTGCGCAATATGCTCGTAACTCCTTTGGGCTTCTGCCTCAGGGTTATTGTGAACAAAAAAAAAACCTAAATCTAGAAAAGACGACATCTAGTGTTCTATCTGTTTTCTTATTAATCTATGCTTTTGCCTTTCTCCCTGTAGGTGTAAAATCAAAAGTAGAGGAACCAAGCTATAACAATGTGGTTCAGTAATTATGTATAAATTTTCCTCTTGTCTACATTGAAATGATACAAAACTTTTTTAAATGGTTCAATGTTCTGAAAAACGACTTTAAAATGATAGTTCATAAACAAAACGGATCAAGAGGTTCATAAGAGTTATGACCGGACATCCAAACAAACAAACAGAGATTATAAAGATAGATAAGATACTGACCTTGTTTGTTGATATAAAGCGGATTGAAGGATTCCGGATGGATTAGAGCAAAGAATAGGAATAGAACTAGCAGAGGCTCTAAATGGTATTCTAAAAATAATAAAAAATCTTAAAATTAACTTTTAGCCTTTTCTTCTTTCCTTCTTATACTCACATTTATAGTTTTATTTCCCTAGTCTATTCGTCTACAAGTCTGTTTGTCCATTAGTCTTTTAGTCCACACGTTTATTTGTCCATTAGTTTAATAGTAAATAAGTCGGCTCCAAGGCTCTAAGTCTACAAGTCTACAAGTCTACAAGTCTACAAGTCTACAAGTCTGCAAGTCTGCAAGTCTGCAAGTCTGCAAATCTCCAAGTCTCCAAGTCTCCAAGTCTCCAAGTCTCCACGTCTCCACAAGTCTCCAAGTCTCCAAGTCTCCAAGTCTCCAAGTCTCCAAGTCTCCAAGTCTCCAAGTCTCCAAGTCTCCAAGTCTCCAAGTCTCCAAGTCTCCAAGTCTACAAGTCTCCTTTCTAATTTCCTACCTTCGACTTTGTAGTCTTAGAAGTTTACTTAAATTTCTTGACATTTTAAAATCTGAAAAATTATGAATTAAGTTTTTTGATTAAAAAATTTACTAATCAAATCAAAATAGACATTTAAAGACGCCCTACTTCCATACATATGCATTTAATTAAAATCATCATAAAAGGATTCAATTTTATAGGATTGGAGTGCAAACTTCGGAAGTGGTTTCGCCGACAAAGCAACTTATTTTTCTGCAACTTAACCAATTATCATCGATTTAATATCCTTTGTCAAAAATCAATTCTTCTCCGTTTGTAAAGAATTTTTTTCTCCGGCATTTTCTCCATTCGCCAGGATATATCTTGTCCGCCATTTCAGGTTTCAACCGCTTGAAAAAGATCAAGCTTGTGGCAGAGCAAGATTGTAGAAAGATGATTCCATAAAAGTATTTATCTCTCGCCATTTTATCCAACCTGATTAGCATACACCAACATTATTATTTGTATTATAAAATTAAAATACATTATCTAAGTTAAAAATAAGTTTTAAATTTATTTTTGCTAAAAAATGTTGTGTTTCCTTGATTGATAAGAACTGAGGGGGAATGTTCCATCTCAGCTTCTCTGAATAACATTCATTCATTATTTTAGTTTTATTTTATTACAAGTTAATAATATTTTTGCAAATAGCAAAGGACTCTTACATCAAAGTTTCTCTCTTACAAAGAACATTTTTTTTGAGACGGATAAAATTTTTGAGTGGGTACAAAACACCTTAAAACATCGCCCCCAAATCTTAAAAAAATTGAAAACTTCCAAAAATGTAATTGATAACTATATCCTCTAGTTAATTTAACGAATTGTACAGGAATGGAACCCAACTTACATTGTAATGGTTTTTATAAATATTGTGGATTTTTAAAATTATATTAGTGGATTCCAATTCCAAACAATACTGTTTAACTCGGAAAAGTTAATCTTAACATTTTGATGTTGCTATACCTAAACTAAAATCTGGGCGTTTTGTACCTTTTTTTGCGACTTAAAAATTGTGTTCTGACACTTTGGGTGTTTTGTACTTTAGTCCTTTTGAAATATTTAGTCGTTTTGAATTTACAAACTGGTGTCGTAGTCCGTCGTATTTCAATCTATGCTAGATACAATAATAAAAGTAAGAAAGGTTTACACCACCAGGTTGCAAAGATACTAGGATCCTAAAATTTTAGGAAGTTAGAGGCAAGTATTCAGTTACTTTGAAAACCACATCTGAGTATGTTTGCACAGAACGGCAAAAGGTTTGGGGGTAAATTTTAAAAAATACACCCTTGGAGATAAGTATAAATACTTACTTAAAATAGTGTGGGTCCACAATAAGTAGATATTTCTTGTCTCCTACTAGTTTAGTACCAAATACACCCTTGGAAGAACAATCCTCATTACCTGACAAACATAAGGAAATTTTTAATTTTATATATTTGTTAATATTCAACAAACGTAAAAAAAATAAACCCATCGAACCCAAATACTTAGTAACATAAAATAATTTTGCCTCCAAATGTATTCATTTTATTTTGGACTTCATGCCAAAAATTGTATTTTGTAGCGAAATGAGTATTTTTCATACTGTTAAACAGATATCAAAACAATTATTATGTAAGGAAGATATCAATAATATTTTTAATAACAACAATAAAAGATTGCTTATCCTTCTGGATTCTTCATTATTATATGTTAATTATAGTTAGGAATTATAATTTTTTTTAAATTTAAAGGGGGTGACCGGCAATGAATGGTAGTTGAACTGAAGAGAGTGTAGTATTGTGGAGAAATTTGTTAGGATTTATTAGAGACATTTAAAACGTTTTAATGATGTATAACTACTGAGTTTGAGCTCAAAGTCGACGTTCAAAATCATCCATTGGTTGGTTACGTTTTGAAAACCAATTTTTTTAAATTATTAAATAACGAAGACGAAGAATGTATCAAAAATTCTACAGTAAACTAATTAAATGTTTCGGAACATATTTCTCAATAGAAATTTGATTAAAAATCAATGTTAGAATCAATTAGTTCTTTTTCATCGTTATATTGAATTTCTTATTCTTTACGAATTTGTTCGCAGATTTCTACAAATTCTTCAAATGTCGTCTTTTCAATAAAAATTCAAGAAAATCTACAGAAAATGTTTGTGTACAATGAGAGATACAGAAACTAATAACTGAAAGATTGCTTATTTTCGATGATGGGAGTTAATTTTCTATTTCTTAACCTGTTCCTAAACATCTAATAAGTTTACTGTAGAATTTTTGTTACATTTTTTTGTCGTCGTTGTTTAATAGTTCAAAAGAATCGATTCTCAAAACTTTGCGCTCAAACTCAGTAATTATACATCATTAAAACTTTGATATGTCTCAAATGAACCCGAAAAAATTTCTCCACAATACTTTACATTCTAAGTTCAACTACCATACAATGCCGGTCATTCCCTTTAAAATAAAAATTAGTCTTAGTTTTGCAACCATAATAATTTAATAATAGTAAATATAAACACTTAACCATTATTCCGTATAAATCAAGGCCGCGCCCCCTTAAAAAAACCCGCCAAAAGTACAAAAATTAATAAAACAAACCTCCCATCATAACAGGACATCTTCTAGTTCTGAAATGTTGTTGAAGAGTAGGAAATATGTTCTTTAGATCATCTCCAGACCTTATACAGGGGGATATATTTTCAAGAATTAATCCCACCGGAGGCGGAGGAAGGGGGGTGGGGGGATAATTTGGATACTCTAAGATTGGAAATTGAACATCAACTCAAAAAATTTTCATCTTTCTTTGATAATTATTCATTTCCAGACAAAAATCATTTACTCCCCAATTAATGAATAAAATAAGTTTTTGTTTTGATACAAACCATTTAACTGAAATAAATATTGCAAAAGGGGCCCAGGGTGTGTGGGGGGGGGGGTCGGGCGATTGATTTTTTAAAGGAAGTATATGCCCCTAACCTAACATGAACCATCTTCACAGGAATATCAGAGAGAGAATCTAAAAGTAAACTATAAATATCTTTATACTTGCATCAATGAAAACGTCTAATCTAGAAATAGTCGATTTTATGTGAAACTGCTTGAAAGGCTTTGTGACCTCGTAGCTCCTGTAGTTTTTGTGTAAAAAGAGGACACTGCGAAAACTGCTTCAACTCAGAATTTATTCTGGAAAAGCCAAAACTTTTTATTCAATTGCATAATAAAAAATTAAAAGATTTGCTTATTCTTCGCAAAAATATGATTAAAAAAGTAAGATATTAATCTAACCTAAAATTTACAAGAGTGTTTTCCAATAAACATGGGAATTAAAAAACGCCTTGAAAATCGATCTTTGCTTTCCAATAATGGATAAATGTAAAAGATAGCATCAAAAAATATAGTACCATTTGTTGACCTTAAAAATGTGACCTTCCATTAAATATCTCTAATAAATTAGAATCTGGACAAATTTCTCAATAACTACGTCAATTTTGAAGGCGCAAAAGTGGAAGACCACATTTTGAAAATCTTCAGACGTATAGTTTTCTGTCTCAATTAAGTCAACACTTCATTCCCGTGTTTATTTGATGTGAATGTACTAAACAAGGCCGCGTAGAACAAAGACGATATAGAGTTGTCACTCAGTTCCCATGTTTATTGGGACACTCTGTACAATTTGATATGAACGTACCTATGACTAATCCAACTTCAACACTACCAATCCATTCTCGTGATCGTTGGACCCTNNACTGGTAATTTCAAGTGGCATTCCGATTCAAACCCCTAAAAGCTTAAGTCTGAAAAATTGAAATATCAACTATCTTGTCTCCCTAAGCTTTATCAGTTACAACTGTTTAAAGCTGAATGAAAAAATAAAACAATCCACCTTGCTGGTTTATCTTCCATATTGACCAATATCTCTTGTATCTTCCTAAAATGAAATAAAAATATTTAAAAAAATAATAAATAGCAAACAATATTGACATTTGACAAGCACTTTTAAATAAGAAAAGCTTTCTAACATTTTTCTTAGTTAGTTTAAATGGTACCGTTGTGAATTCGACAATTTCTAATCGACATATCCTTAACTAAATGGAATTACGACTTCTGTCCCTTTAACATATACTTCTACAAAGTGCATTCCCAGACTTCCATTTAAAGTTTGAAAACGTTTTATAACAAATTAAAGTTATTGTTTTGATCTTGAGTTTTACCTTAAAGATGGGATCTGGATATCCTTGTTTATATTGAAATGTATCCAGGATATTATAGTTTGCGCTGTTCTGTATCCACATCCCCAACCCCTGGATAGTGGATATTAAAAAAAATTTTAATAAAAAATAATGCGCAGGTTAGAGGACTTTTCCCCAACCTGTAAAGGATGTATTAATATGTAAAATGTGCTTTGCCACTTCATTTATATCTAAATGTGTAAAAGAATTATAATCCCCGCTTTGCCTGATCAAGAGAGCATGATATATCCATAATTTTTACTTTAAACATAGATTATTTTCAATTGGAGTTTCTTCGTAAAGTGACCTGTAGATTTCTGCTTTAAAAGCAATTGAGAACTTCTAAAAACTGAACACTTTAAGCTAGAAAACGATAACAACTTCGACATTATGATTGATCAGATAAAGATTTAAAGGGTACCGGTGTGAATCGGGATTGTCTTTTTTTTAAATGGATGGTCACTTGATATTACAAAATGTATTTTAGAATATACCTGTCATCAGTGCCGTCACAGATATAATGCCAGTAATCATAATCTCCAGTTACTTCATCAATAATATCATTATCATCATGTTTATCCCCTTCAGACCATTCATGGGATTCATCTAAATCATGATCATCATGTTTAATCCCTTCTTCAGACCATTTCATCATGTCATTCAAAAACCATCAAATAATTCATATCAAGGTTTTACTCTTGCCTTTAAAGCTGTTCATCGTCTTCAAATAGCTATGCGGACTTCTCATTAAATCCATTTTATCTGATAAACAGTACAATTGAGTACAGTACAGTAACAGTAAAGTACAGATTGATATCTACAAAAAAAACCAAATAATTATAAAAAATAATACTGTATGTAAGGCAGGATTGCTTCTGCAACAATATTAAACAATTTGAAGTGGGGGATACAATAATATTACATTTAACTTAAAATTAGAATTCATTTCATTTCCAATATTTCTTCTTTTTTCTTTCTTCCTCATGATTTATTCTGTCTTGATCGGTACTTGGGCAATAAACCTGAAATTAATAAAAAGTTTCGAAACATTAATTGGAATTTGTTACACATTAAATGTTATATGCTTCATGTTTCATGTTACAATTTACATGTCATCTCATCTTTTACAAATTAAATGATTAAAGTGTCACTTAAAGGGAGGTAGGGGGGGGGGGTTATGGGTTTTATAAACAGATATTTAACAAGTGAATATGAAGTTAAGCGGTACTATTTCTATTTCTGGACCATACTTCTTAAAAGAAAGAGATGAGCTATGCTGTAGAACAGACTGCTTGGGGGATGCAATATATGTACAATGAGTGAATCGGGTTGCAGACCATGGTGGAGTTGTAGAGTAGGGCGGAGATTTATTGAGGCGGAGCTACAGAGCACGGCAAATATTACCCGAAGCGGAGTTGCAGATCTTGGTGGAACTTACCTAAGTCAGATCTGCAGGGCAGGGCAAAGCTTACCTTTGGCGGATCTTCAGAGCAAGGCTAAGATTACATGAGGCGGAGCTGATGAGGTGGGCGGACCATACCTGCGGCGGAGCTTACCTGAGGCGGAGCAGCAGAGCTTGGCAAAGCTTACCTGAGGCGGAGCTGCAGAGCTGGACGGAGCTGTTTTAATATTCTCTCAGCATCAGCTTTAACACTATCCCCAGTAAACTGATACTTGATGTGGTAGAGCAGATCACAAACTAAACAAAATTATGAAATAATCCTTAAAAAATATGTCTACATAAATTTGGAAAGCGCAAAAAAAAATTTTAAAAAGAACAATTTCTAAAGTTTTATGATGAAATATTTTCATTTCTGAGAAATATCTTTTTCTTGAAATCGGCCGCCAAAAATCTCAGTATAAATTATGTTTAATTATTTCATGAACCTTTATATTTAGTGTAAACTGTACAAGTGTACAATAGTTAACATATATTTATCGACAAAACTTCAATAAACTACATCCATGTACTTGAGATGATATGTTGTCTTCTCTACGTATAACCGTACAGTACAACAGAACGGTTCATGAACCCTTATGTACCTGCATCCATGTACTTTAGATGATGTACACTGTTGTCCACTCTCAGGATAACCTCGTACAGCTGAATTGTCAGATCAAATAGAACTCTCATGAATCGGTCTGTGTGCAGGCGCTGCAGGAACGGGCCAACTAAAATAGAACTCTCATGAATCGGTCTGTGTGCAGGCGCTGCAGGAACGGGCCAACTAAAATAGAACTCTCATGAATCGGTCTGTGTGCAGGCGCTGTAGGAACGGGCCAACTAAAATAGAACTCTCATGAATCGGTCTGTGTGCAGGCGCTGTAGGAACGGGCCAACTTAAATCAAAAAAAAAGTTTAAACCATCTGTTTCTTAATTAATTCAGCCATTAATGACTTGATGAAGCCCTGAGACCAAGAGTTTCAGGAATATCAGGAAAGAGATCTGAAAGCCCCCCCAGGTTGGAAAACACAGAAAGCCATCAGGTGAGCGCACTCAATCACAAGATTCCATGAGTCTATGATTCCATGAGTATATGATTCCATGAGTCTATGATTCCATGAGTCTATGATTCCATGAGTCAATGATTCCATGAGTATATGATTCCATGAGTCTATGATTCCATGAGTCTATGATTCCATGAGTCTATGATTCCATGAGTCTATGATTCCATGAGTCTATGATTCCATAAGTCTATGATTCCATGAGTCTATGATTCCATGAGTATATGATTCCATGAGTCTATGATTCCATGAGTCTATGATTCCATGAGTCTATGATTCCATGAGTCTATGATTCCATGAGTATATGATTCCATGAGTCTATGATTCCATGAGTATATGATTCCATGAGTCTATTATTCCATAAGTATATGATTCCATGAGTCTATGATTCCATGAGTCTATTATTCCATAAGTATATGATTCCATGAGTCTATGAGTCCATGAATACATGAGTCAATATATAAATGATTCCATGATTGCATGATTGCATGATTACATGATTGCATGATTGCATGATTGCATGATTGCATGATTGCATAATTGCATGATTACATGATTGTATGATTCCATGATTGCCTGATTACATGATTGCATGAGTCCATAAAATCATAAACCAACCAACCAACCATTAAACAAGCCCCAATTAGGATAAAGTGTTGAATAATCCCTAAATGAAAACTCACCCATATGAAGAAGATACAGCATTTGTTCCTCAGTAGTGATGATAGGGATGAGTCGATCCTTAACTAGTTCTAGTATTCCACACAACTATATATACGATACTTATTGGTTACTGTAGACCCAATCAGACCAATGGAAGGCAAGGTAGAATATTTTGACCAACACGGGAAAAGCTACAGTGAAACCCTAAATAAGCCAACCATCGAAAGAATTTATCAAATGTCGTCTTGACAATTTTTCAATGGGTTTTATACTATTTTACGTAAATCTCAGTATTTGCGAAAATAAATAAATGGCCATGAATATGAAGGAACAGTTTTAAAGAGCTCCATATAATCGTTCAATTAAAAAACTAAATATCTGCAACATTCCATTATCAGAAAGTGAAGAATAATTCAGGATTTTGAACGTCGACTTTGCACTCAAACTCAGTAATTATACATCGTGGAAACGTTTTACATGTCTCAAATGAATGCTAAAAAGATTTTCTACAATACTACTGCATCTCAGTTCAACCACCAAACATTGCCGGTCACTCCCTTTAATAAAGAGTAGAAAAGATTGTATCTGAACAAAGGGGAGGGGCATGTCTGATTCACAACTAATACATTTTTGTCTGATCATCAAAGACATAGGATTTGCTTCTTTAAAAATTAAACTTGAGTGTTCTGTACAGTGTGAAGTTGTGTGCAGTACAGTACAAGCAGATCAGTAATCAATAAGTTCCCTGGTTGAATCCGGCATGATGCCATGTAGAATGAACTACAGCTAATAAATGCGGTAGTGATGTGTTGGTATTCAGACTCTGAGCTAAAATCAAATATGTCAGTCATAAATAGTTAATGTTTTTAATTATCCACTCTCAGTACAGCTGTATTCTGACGTCATAAGTGTCAATTAATTTTTTGTGTCCGACAAAATTATAAATTGTGATAATTTTAGAATAAAATGCTTATCTTACAGTAAAATAAGTGCAATTTTATGTGTCCTTTATTTTCTGTTTTTACATTCTTTTATTTAATCTTGGAAAACATGTTATTTAATGTGTAAAATCGGTCCATTTCTCTGTTGCCACCTATTGTACTTGATAATCTATCTGATTTTTCATTATTAAGATAGAACGGTTTTTGAGTTCATCACCGAATTTTCATCAAATGAAAGGGGAAATAAATAATTTTATGAGAAAAAGTTACGAAAGTTTATCTTAAAACTTTTGCTTCCAGCTTTACGATTTTTCTGTCTCACCTGAATTGAAATCAAATACTTGTGTTGGAGTGAGGTCTGAGGACCAATTTGTCAACAGGTCGGAGCGCAACATCTGAATTTATTTGACGATTATAGTTTCTTTAACAAAAATCATAACTGGCCGCTTTAAAGAACTTGTTTAATGGTCAGTGAAAAATGCCTGGCTATTGCTATACCCAATACGTTATGAAGAAATTGTCAAGGGTGTACACTTTCTTTCGGTAATATTTTTCCCACCAGCTATATTAGGTATGTTTGTATGTTTCAAAGCATTTATTTCTTAAAAATATATGAGCCTTGGAAATGCCAAAGCCTCTGTCATACAGATTACATACAGAGTGGAGGTTTAATTCCCTGCTGATCTTAGGGTTGACATACCTGCTCTATCATGTTTTCCTCTTAACCCTGGGTTGACCTACCAGCTCTATCCTGTTCTCCTCCTGACCCTGGGTTGATCTACCTGCTCTATCCTGTTCTCCTCTTAACCCTGGTTTGACCTACCAGCTCTATCCTGTTCTCCTCCTGAACCTGGGTTGACCTACCTGCTCTATCCTGTTCTCCTCCTGACCCTAGGTTGACCTACCAGCTCTATCCTGTTCTCCTCCTAACCCTGGGTTGACCTACCTGCTCTATCCTGTTCTCCTCCTGACCCTGGGTTGACCTACCAGCTCTATCCTGATCTACTGACCCTGGATTAACCTACCAGCTCTATCCTGTTCGCCTCCTGAGCCTGAGTTGACCTACCTGCTCTATCCTGTTATGAAGTCCGATCCAATAAACATGAGGAAGGTTTGAGAGAAGAATCCCGACAGCATTTATCCAGTCAGGTAGTTTCTCTACAGGGATATGAGATTGGTTTTGCATAATCACCTGAACAATATTTAAAATTATACTTTATAATTAATAGTTTGAAAAACTGTCCCTCTACAACACGAATTTAGCTTCTCTGTTTGTTGACTTGTTTGTTTGTACCAAGACAGCTGAACTAGTTGGGCCCAGATTTTTTATAGGAAATTAAAAAGCCTCCATCTTTTATATTCTATAAAATTTGGATTTTATTGAAAAAAAACAAAAAATCTGTTAAATCTTACATTATATTGTTTTTGTAATAAAACTAAAAAAATGAATGCAGTTAAAATAACATTTAAAAAAATGACAAGGAAGTGGAAGCCTAGTACATAAATGTTTATGTACAAAGTACATCACTAATCATTTACTTGCGGGACATGTCCGATTCACAATTGTACCCTTCAAACCTCTATCTGAGCTAACAAGCTTCAGATATCCACATTTTTCTTTCTAAAAACTGAAAGTTCTCTATAAACAGTGATTTGCGGATTTAAGCATCAGTGATAAAATGAAGGAAACTGACAGTTTTTCAAAATATTTAAGATTGAAACATCGATATCTTACTCATTGTTGCTCAGATACATGTTTAAAGGGTACGTTGTAAATTGGACAAAAACTCTTTCAACTGGAAGGTTACTTGAAATTACAAGAAATGTACTGCAATCAGATATTTGAAGAAGTGTACTGCAATCATATATTTGAAGAAGTGTACTGCAATCATGTATTTGAAGAAATGTACTGCAATCATATATTTGAAGAAGTGTACAGCGATCATGTATTTGAAGAAATGTACTGCAATCATGTTTTTGAAGAAGTGTACTGCAATCATGTATTTGAAGAAATGTACTGCAATCATATATTTGAAGAAGTGTACTACAATTATGTATTTGAAGAAATGTACTGCAATCATGTATTTGAAGAAATGTACTGCAATCATGTATTTGAAGAAGTGTACTGCAATCATGTATTTGAAGAAGTGTACTGCAATCAGATATTTGAAGAAGTGTACTGCAATAAGATATTTGAAGAAGTGTACTGCAATCAGATATTTGAAGAAGTGTACTGCAATCAGATATTTGAAGAAGTGTACTGCAATCAGATATTTAAAGAAGTGTACTGCAATCATTTATTTGAAGAAGTGTACTGCAATCATGTATTTGAAGAAGTGTACTGCAATCATGTATTTGAAGAAGTGTACTTACATCAACCAGCTTTTCTCCAACAATATGAGGTTCTATGGGTAGAACCATCAACTCCACACAGGTCACATACATACCATGTGTTCCCTACACAACCAAACCAAACTCAAATATCAGAATTTAAAAACAATAATTATTAGCACGAAAAAAGAATGGCCACAATTGTGAACAATCAATATTGCAAAAAAATATTATAATTGTAAAAGTCAAGAATTTCTGTAAAATCCAGGAAAGAGTAAGAGCCATAAATATCCAATGGGAAATCCATTATAACTTATCCAAGATTTCAACAATGGCGTCATTTCGTAAAAAAAAGGATTTTTGAGTTATTTTTCCTCATTTGGGAACTCGTTGAATCTCCAGTCCATGTGCGGGAACACGAGTACAGTCGAGTCCACGGCACCAACCATCCGACCAACTAAATAATGAGAAAATTGTTGTTTATAAATGTTACTTTTAAAGCCGCCATTTTCAAGCCGATAAGTTCGCGGATTTATGTGTATTGTATGGACTGTGTGAACTGTGTACCTATGTGTGTTGTATGTACTTCGTGAACTGAGTACATATGTGAGTTGTATGTACTATAATACTATGTAATATATATGTTATATAATATTTACTGTGTGAGCTGTGTAGTTTGTACTGTGTGAACTGTGTAGTTTGTACTGTGTGAACTGTGTAGTTTGTACTGTGTGAACTGTGTAGTTTGTACTGTGTGAGCTGTGTAGTTTGTACTGTGTGAACTGTGTAGTTTATACTGTGTGAACTGTGTAGTTTGTACTGTGTGAAATGTGTAGTTTGTACTGTGTGAACTGTGTACCTATATTGTAGAAATAATCTGTACCAGGCGTCCAGGACTCATCTATATTTTCCATTGTTATATAGGACTCACAGATATCCTAAATATTTGATGAATCAATCAATTCACCCAACAATCAATCAATTTATTTATCCAATAATCAATAATCAAATCATATGAATATCAATTGATCTCGATATCCACAATACGGGAGTTTCCAGCTCAGATCAATTAATCGATTCAAAAAAAAAAATAATGATCATATTAATCTAACAAATATTAACTAATTAGTTACTTGTACATTTACAATAATCTTGAATATTTGCCCAACCCAATCAATCAACCAAACCAAAGCTGAACAGTGAATCATAATTAAAAACCAAAGTGCTTCCAACCTGAAATTAATCTAAAAACAAGTTTAACATATTTAATTTCTAGTTAAAGGGACTGTAAGCGTAATTTCAGGTGACCCTCCAGGCAAAAGGTTTCTTTAAAAGCTTTGCCTGATCAAGTATGAATCAGATATTAATGTTTTTATTTTTTAATTTTGAAAAATGATAATTTTCAATTGTGGTTCTCTACAAAATTGACCAACGCATTTCTTCTGCAGGAAAAAATATAGGACTTATCAGAATTTTACTCTTTTAAAAAACGTCAATATTGATAAAATTAACACATTATTGATCAGATAAAAGTTTCAAGGGTACCATTGTGAATCGGGCATTGCAATCTTTGCATGTATGGTCCCTTAAAATTACGCTTACAGTCCCTTTAAAGTTTATCCTACCGGAGTAAAGGCCCAGTTTGTAGGTCTCACATCCTTCAAGGCTTGATCAATCAGGGAAACAATCAAACGCCTATCATATTTTTTTTAATAAATTGGGAATTTTTTTTCTCTCAATTTTGTCCATACATGAAAATGATGCCCATCTCTGAATATAATCTTTGTATCTTACCTTTCTGATGAATTTACACCATCAGGTTGCAAAAATATTGGGATTTATGAATTCGTCTTTTTTCTTTAAAAATTGGCGTATATTTTTAAAAACAGATACTTAGTATCTTGACCTCTTAAAAACATTTGACAAAATAAGAAATATCCCAAAAACCATTCCTTTTTAAATAGCAGTTTATTTGGTATTCAGCAATTTCCTTGAATCCCGCTAATCTAGACAGGATATTTACGCAGACCCATGTTCAACCCAGCTCTTTACAAAAGAATATCATTTGTTTCAATTTTCGTCTTTTCTGGGTTCCGGAAATTCCCAAAATGTGAAAAGTGAATAAATTCACATCATGATTAAAAAAGCATGGAAAAACTTCAACAGTTGATATTAAATGAAAAGATTAATTATGATTATAAAAACATTTAAGGCAAGTGTAACAAAAATTTTGAAAATATTAAAAATGAAAAAGTTGATTATTTTACCTTAGCAAGGGACGAGATCTCAGGCTTATCTCATAGTAGTGCAGTGTGTTGTACAGATAGGTGATAGGTTTATCATGGAACTTGTACAGACATCCTAGTGTACATAATATATATGTACAGTGTACAGATAGGTGATAGGTTTATCATGGAACTTGTACAGACATCCTAGTGTACATAATATATATGTACAGTGTACAGATAGGTGATAGGTTTATCATGGAACTTGTACAGACACCCTAGTGTACATAATATATATGTACAGTGTACAGATAGGTGATAGGTTTATCATGGAACTTGTACAGACACCCTAGTGTACATAATATATATACACAGTGTACAGATAGGTGATAGGTTTATCATGGAACTTGTACACTGTATAGTCATCCTAATTGTACAATGTACACTTTGCAATATAAAAAAGTGTTCATAAAACATTATACAAAAAATGTAATATATTAATTCTAAACTTTTATTCATTAAAATACTTCTATAAATTATGATTTTTTTTTAATTGAATAAGTTGTATTGTACAATGTCTACATTGCACCAACTGTACTGCACACTTACATGTATGTACTGTACTGTACTGTACTGTAATGTACATTACTGTATTGTACTGTAAATTACTGTATTATACTGTATTGTGTTGTATTGTATTGTATTGTATTGTATTGTACTGTACTGTATTGTACTGTATTAAACTGTACTTACCTAGGTGTCCAAACATGGTCTCCAATGATTTCTGAACCGGAACCAGTTCGATAAATCGGTGTACAACAACGTCAAATACTGCAGGGGACAAGTAAATAATAAACTTAATAAGTTGGATTAATTATGAAATGAATAATACAATAAATCTAATGTATGAAAATTAACAGCACAAATGGTTTTGTCAACTACATATATAAAAAAATCCACGGGTGGGGAGAGGTGTGGACATAATTAAAAAAACAAATAAATTATAAAAAATGTATGTCTCAAAAATGTATAAAAAGGATGAAATATGTTTATTTTTGTCTGCCTGGAATGAAACGAAGACACACATTTCCGTAATAGATTGGGAGAGATGGAGTTCGCTGAAAAATAATAGGCCAATCAATAATAATCCATCACTTTATCAAAAAATGAATGAATCAATCAGTAATTTTAACTCAATTAACCACTTTAAATCAATCAATCTTTTTAAAATCATTTAATCATTTTATAAATCATTCAATCATTTAATAAATAAATAAAACATTTAATAAAATCAATAAATTATTTAATAAATCAATAAATTATTTAATAAATCAACAAATCATTTAATATATCAATAAATCATTTAATAAATCAATAAATCAATGTATAAATTAATCAATCAATCAATAATGAGTTAAAAAAGAACCTTAGCCTCTATATCTGGTGAGTCCGGGGAATCTGGAGAAAACTTCTCCGGAAACTTGTTGTGGAACTCCATATGCTTCTCATGCCAGTCCTATGCAATAACAAAAACAATAACAATAACAATAACAATAACAATAACACTAAAAGTAAAAGTAAAAGTAAAATTAAAAGTAAAAGTAAAAGTAAAAGTAAAAGTAAAAGTAATAATGGTAATAGTAATAGTAACAGTAACAGTATCGGTATCGGTAACGGTAACGGTAACGGTAACAGTAACAGTAACGGTAACAGTAACTTTAACGGTAACGATAATGGTAACGGTAACAATAACGGAAACGGTAAGGGTAAGTAAAATTAATAGTAACAATAAAAGTGACGGTAATAGTAATAATGTCGTGAAAAATGAAAAATTTATCACATTTGTAAACTTTTATCCACAAAATATTTGTAGAAATATACACTTGATACACTTGTAAATGGGTTAAATTAAGACCGATTCAACACTAGGTAACTTATAAAATAAAGACACTATTTATAACGGCAAAGTGTACAGTTCACTGTACAGTGTACTGTTTACAGAGCAGTGACTGTACCCCACCTGTTGTAAATGATGATCAGGATTCATGGCGCGGCAAAATTCATTTACGCGCAGTCTGAACTCATTCGGTTTCAGCAGGAGAACCTAGCATAGATTAGAAGATAAATAGATGGATAAATTAAAAAATGAAAAGATTAATAAATGAAAAGATGAAAAGATGAATAGATGATTAGATGAATAGGTGAATGGATGAATGGATGAATAGATGAATAGATGAATATATGAATAGATGAATAGATGAATATGAGTTTATGAGTTATGATTGATTACCTGTCCAGTGTTATGATGTTATGTTTCCAGATCATGGCGTTGGTTGCATCTATAGATTTAGTCACGTGACCCCCACCAGCTGATTTACTAAAAAGATGACCACAATTCAATTACAAGAGACAAAAAAAATAAACAATAAGAAGGACACTACAGGATATTTTGGAAAAAAAGATCAAATGACCAAAAAGGGATGATCAAACTTTATATTTACTATTCATAAAATTAAGATGATTACATTTTAACAAATTAGTAAGAAGAAATATCAGCAAATATCGCCGCAATGGTTTAATGCTGAATAAACAGGTGAATAAACCAAATTTGAAAAAAAAGAAAAAAATCGAATTAGAGAATGAATGCACGAAAAAAATGTTTTTATGAATAAATGAATAAAAGGATTAATTCAGAAAGAAATGAATGGATAAATAAATTATGAAATTAATAAATGAATGTAAAATTATGAAATGAGTTAATTATGAAATTAATGAAAGAATTTATAAATAAATGAATAAATGAAAAAAAAATAAACAAAATAAATAAAATGGAATAAATGAATATAAAAAAATCAAAGAATCTAATAAAGGATAAATAAATTGGTGAATAAAGAAAGTTTATAAAAGAATGAACCAAAAAAAAGAAAAGAAAAAATGAAATAAAGAAATAAATGTATTAGCAAATGCACAAAAGAAAAATAAATAAATGAATGAAAAAAATAATGAATGAATTGATGATTGCCTGAATTCTATAACAAGATAATCACAGAATGTTCTAAGATGAGCGGTCAACTGCTTGGCCCCAATTCTCTCCAATACCTAAAAAGTGCAAAAAATGAAGATTTGCATAAAAATAAAAAAAATTGGACACCAACTGGCATTCCCCCTTCCCCCTCCCACTTGTTGATACTCTTAACCGAAAAAATATTTTTTACTGAATTTTGAAAAGGGGTGTGGGGGGGGATATAATTTATAATTTTTCAAGAAAATATACAGGGGTAAAAATAAAAAAGGATTTAAAATAAAAAAGTTCTAATGATAGCATTTCATTCAAAAAAGCTATATTTTTGGTGAACAACATTTTTCATTTAAAAACACCTTTTAACATTCATATACTCTTTAAATAAATTAAGTAAATGATATAGTTTGGATAAGGAAAAGAAAGCTGTAGCGAGAAAGCAAGCTTTCTAGTACTTTTCAGTGATTTCTATTTTTTACTATCTTAAACTAAAAAAAAGATTGCGTTGGAAATATTTTAAGGATGACCAATAATTATTTTTAATACATTTTTTGAAGCTTTATGTAAAAAAGATGTTCACTGTAAAGAGTACACAAGTGTACATTGCAGTATTATAATGTTATTGTTTATTTGGGTTGTAAAGCTAATTTCACGATTACAAAAAATCTCGTGTTTTAGCATAAATGTGCAATGTCAAGATATACAGTGAGTTGAGAAGCATAGAACTGTGTAATAGGGAGACATCATTTAAGCATTCAATGTTGTTATTTAAGAATAGTTTAACAGTATCTTGAAAATCAACTTCTTGAGTGAAATGAGTTGTGTACATGTACAACTGCTCACATAGATCCAGACTGCTTTGAAAAGATGATTTAATTTTTAAGACTGGGTCGACTCTGAAGTGTCGCAACGCCCTGGTCTTTTACTTGACAAATTCACGTTTACTTTATTGTATCCTTAGACAGTAGACACGACTTGTTTTAAGCCTTACGTTGAAATAAGTTATTGTCAAAATTCTCATCAATTTTTATGTGAGGAATTGCAACCTTTAGATTACTGTGTGCTGTGTTTCATTGGACTATTAAAATCATATTATGAGTCAAACATTCGTCTTCCTATTCCATAGTTTTATGGATCTCACTGTACTCCTGGTTTTCAGATGATCATCAAGAGAACTAGTAGTATCAAGAGTGTAGCAGTATATTGTAGTAGATCTTTGTCTACTGCTAAACAACTAAAAATACAGGCAACATGAACACCCCCATCTGGCCCAGAATTAAGGGACTGTAAATGTAATTTCAAGTTTGATTTTTAAAACCCTTTAAACATAGAGAATAGAATATATAGAGAGGAATTTACTAAAAAAAAGTGTAAAACGGCCATTTTGTTGTACTGTTTCCATACTGCAGGTGTACTTCACTACCTTTAGATTACTGTGTGCTTGTGTTTCATTGAACTATTAAAATCATAATATGAGTCAAACATTCGTCTTCCTTTTCCATAGTTTTATGGATCTCACTTTACTCCTGGTTTTTCAGATGATCATCAAGAGAATCAGTAGTATTAAGAGTGTAGCAGTATATTGTAGTAGATCTTTGTCTACTGCTAAACAACTAAAAATACAGGCAACAAGAACACCTTCATCTGGCCAAGCATTAAAGGGACTGTAAATGTAATTTCAAAAACGCTAGAATATTTTCCTTCCGCTTTATTTCCAAAATTATGGAATTCGCTTGAATTAGAGCTTAAAGAAACTAAATGTACAAAACTGTTTAAAAGAAAAATCTTAAAAAACTATTTAGAAAGTTATGCAAGTTATATCTGTAAAAAAATAACTGTTTTTCATGTGGATAAACTTAGTCTTTGCTATCTTCATCACCCGGTAGTTCATAAACATGATTCTAATAATATATGTTACCCTCTGTTACAACCTTTCCGCTGAGTACCCACCCTTTCCTTTATACTTTTTCACCCCCTCTCCTTACCTTATTCATGATTTATCATCATTGTTTTGTTTAAAATGTACACTGTGCAGTGTACATCCATCTTTTTATTTACAATTCTTATTCGCTTATAATGGGCCAACCAATTAAAACAACCAACTCTGGTTAGGCGGGTCCAAACTACATAGTAAATTGTGATTTTTTATTTGTATTATCTCGTGCTTTGTAGTTGAGTAAAAATATGAAATGAAATGAGAAAGGGGGCTAAGTTTGATTTAACAACCCTTTAACCTTTGTTAGATTGAGCTAAAAATTGATTTGTTCGGTTGTGGGTTCTCTTTAAGATTTGCTTGCGAATTTCTGCTACAATTACCTCTAATTTATTTTAATTTACAGTTTATAGTTTAATGAAAATGAGACTTTTCTTCAATATAATGTGTTTCCTATAATAAAACCTCTAACACAGTAGCAGTTTGCGGTTGGGGGTCCCTGAGCCACAATATAGGAAAATAGCAATTTTGCACATTAAAGCCCTGAACAAGTTTTTAATCACTTCTTTGTTCTTGTTTATCCAAAAAATCAAATTTGTAATAAAATAAACTTTAAAGTGTTTGTTGATAAATATACCTTTAGGGACCAGCCATAGGAGCATTCCAACTAATTGGAGACCCTCTTCTGACAGAACATTATGCAAAGGTGAATACAAACATTTAGAAAATAATTTCAACTAATTGGAGACCCTCTTCTGACAGAACATTATGCAAAGGTGAATACAAACATTTAGAAAATAATTTCAACTAATTGGAG